GATCCTCCCGCCTTGGCCTCCCAGAGTGCTAGGATTACAGGCCCAAGCCACCACACCGCGGCCACAAAATAGTATCCTAAGGAAGAAAAGAATACAGTGAATAGTTTTAGTTGACTCTTCTGAGACTACCACAATTATGAGACTACCACAAGAATATGTCTGACTATAGCAACTTCCTTGAGCTTTTTACCAAGCAAGTCCACAAAGATACTGGTAAAAGTGAGATTCAGAAAGTCATGGGTCTGTTGAAAGGCCAGGAGAGCAGCAGCAGATCAGTTTAGGCAGACACTGATCACATTAGTGTGTTTCCTGGGAGAGACAGCCCAACACTGATTAAGTGACTCCACCACCCGTTCCTCACTACATTTCCCAAGTGGCTGAGGGGAGAGTGGAGAGCAAGCAGTGGCAATTAGCTTTGCCTGCTAACCTTCAAGAAAACAGTTTAGGCAGAGCAATGAAAGAAAAATTGGAGGCTCAATTCCAGTAGAAGCTTTTTTTTCTTTTTGCAGTTTTTGGCCAGGGCTAGGATCGAACCTGTCACCTCTGGCATATGGGGCCAGTGTCCTCCTTTTAGCCACAGGTGCCGTCCCAGTAGAAGCTTTTTGTGTGTGGGGGGAGGACAGAGACTCTTATCACCCTGTGTTGAGTGCTGTAGCATCATAGCTCATAGCATATTCAACCACCCTCCCACCCCCCAACCCTCCAGTACCAGGGACTACAGGTGCCTGCCACAACACCTGGCTATTTTTTTTAAGAGACCAAGATCTCTTTCTTGCTCAGGCTGGTCTCAATCTTGTGAGCTCAGGCAATCCACCTGTCTCCTTCTCCCAGGTGTTATGATTACAGGCATGAGCCACCACATCCGGCCTGAAGAAGCACTTTCTTACAATGAGTGGATCTGGCTGGGCAAGATGGTTCACACCTGTAATCCTAGCAATCTGGGAGGCCCAAGCAAGTGGATTGCTTGAGCTCATGAGTTGTGACTAGCTTGAGCAAAAGGGAGACCCCATCTCTACAAAAAATAGAAAAACTGAGGTAAGAGGATCAACTTGAGCCCAAGAGTTGGAAGTTGCTCTGAGCTATATGATGCCTCAGCACTCTTAACCAGGGTGATAGTTTGAGACTATCTCAAAAAAAAAAAAGGAAAAGAATGAGTGGATCTTCTCAGATAATTCATCTCCTTCTGCCTGGGGCCCACAAAGACAGATACTTAGTTCTCTCCAGCCTTTGGGAGCTGTGGAATTTCCAAAGACCAGTTAAAGATAAACATGATGCAATGGTATATAGTTGTAGTTCATTAGAACAAACAGGTCTGGTTCGCCCACAGTCCTAGAGGTGGGCGAGTAGGCACAGGTAATAGAGGAGACCTTGATTGTTTTATGGGGAGTGTAGGTGGGAAGGGGGTGATCATAAGTCAAAGGTTGTGAGTAATTAGGGTTTTTATTATCTTGGGTTATGAAACAAAGCCCTTTGAGAACATAGCTAGTGTTTGAATTTTCTTTAACTAGTTTCTTATTAGCAGCTTTAAAAAATTTAAAATCCTACTATTGGGGGGAAATGTACTGGGAGAATTTGAGGTTGATACTTTGAAAGTCCTCTGCCAGTCTCCAAAGTAGCTAATCTGACTAATGACGAAATACAATGAGCACTTTTTCTTTTCTTAAGTCTGTGGGTACAGACTTTGTTCACTGCCTTATTTTACTAACCAGGAACGGGTTTGGGGAACTTCAGCAAATAAAGGAAAACAAATATTTCCTCATAATTATTAAATTCTTGAAACTGTAGACTTTTTTCCACATGCCAGATAATGTATATTTTACCAGAAAACAGCTAATTTCTTAAATGATCAGTAAAGTCTTGGCAACACTTCTAGCCTTTGTTAACATGTTGTCGTTCCCCCCCCCCCAAAAAAAACCGTGTGGATGGTAAAGGAAAAATGTTCTTCCTAAAGATTAAATTCTTCCACAGGGTTAAAAAGCTACTTCTGACCAGTTTTTAAAATACAGCTAACTGCTGCTTATCTAGCATTTTCTCCATGAGTCATATGCCTGTAGTTTGCTGGTTTAAGCTGTTTTTAAAGGGGAGAGGGAGACCTTTTGTCTTGTAAAGAATAGGATTAAAGAGGGACCAGAATGAGCTCAGTAGTTACACAATCACACAGAGAATGAATCAGAGCTGGAAGGGAGAATTTTGCATCAGTTTAAGGAATCAGCAGACACATTTCCCAGGAGCTGGTGCAAATATACCTTATAGAGCAGCCTGTGTCATTCTAAAATGGTAGAAACCCAGCTTTGAACATCCATTGTTGTACCAAGCAAGGGTCTTGTCTTGCCTAATAGTTCAGTAACATATCTTTAGTTTTCCAAAACATTTTCTCTGAATTAGGTCTTTAACAAAGAATTTTGCTTGTGAAATAGAACCAGAACCTGGGTAGGAGTGGCCTACAAAAGGTGATTGTCTATCTTGAAGGTTAATTAGTCACTTAGGTGTGAATCATTTCTAAGTGTCCCATCTGATGTGTCATATTCTGACATTTTCTTTTCTTCCTTCCACAGCGTGAGTGCATCTCCATCCACGTTGGCCAGGCTGGTGTCCAGATTGGCAATGCCTGCTGGGAGCTCTACTGCCTGGAACATGGCATCCAGCCCGATGGCCAGATGCCAAGTGACAAGACCATTGGGGGAGGAGATGACTCCTTCAACACCTTCTTCAGTGAGACGGGGGCCGGCAAGCATGTACCCAGGGCAGTGTTCGTAGACCTGGAACCCACAGTCATCGGTGAGTTGACTCCGTAACCCAAGTGAGATCCTAGGGTGCTGGGGCAGGAGGTCTGTCCTGTCAGGGCTGAGCAGGCTGGTGCAGGTGACTGAGTGATGGATGGCTGGTTTGTTTTCCCTTTCCAGATGAAGTTCGTACTGGTACCTACCGCCAGCTCTTCCACCCTGAGCAGCTCATCACAGGCAAGGAAGATGCTGCCAATAACTATGCCCGTGGGCACTACACCATTGGCAAGGAGATCATTGACCTTGTCTTGGACCGAATTCGCAAGCTGGTAAATAGTACTTTATTTAAAGTGGAGAAAGACGGTGGGGGCTCATGCTTGTAATCCCAGAACTCTGAGAGACCAAGACGGGTGGATGGCCTGAGCTTATGTTTTTGAGACCAGCCAGAGTTAGACCCCCATCTCTAAAAATAGCCTGGGCTCGGCACCCATAGCACAGTGGTTACAGTGCCAGCCACATACACCAAGGCTGTCGGGTTTGAACCCAGCACAGGCCAGCGAAACAATGACAACTGCAACAAAAACAAAATGGCTGGGTGTTGTAGCAGGCAGGTATAGTCCCAGCTACTTGAGAGGCTGAGGCAAGGGGATTGCTTGAGCTCAAGAGTTTGAGATTGCTATGAGCTATGATGCCACGGCATTCTATTGAGTGTGATAAAGTGAGACTATCTTCAAAAAAGAAAAAGGCAGAGAGTGGCCAGGCACCTGTGGCTCAAGTTAAGGCACCAGCCACATATACCTGAGCTGGCGGGTTTGAATTCAGCCTGGGCCCGCCAAACAACAATGACAGCTGCAACCAAAAAATAGCTGGGCGTTGTGGCAGGTGCCTATAGTCTCAGCTGCATGGGAGGCGGAGGCAGGAGAATCACTTGAGCCCAAGAGTTAGAGGTTGCTGTGAGCTGTGATGCCATAGCACTCTACTGAGGGCAACAACTTGAGACTCTGTCTCAAAAAAAAAAAAAAAAGGCAGAGAGTTTTCTCTTGTAGTTTTAAGACAGCTGAAACTATAAGGGTAATTCTTTGCAACAAAATGACATTTATTTAGGCTACTCACTAAATTATCTGGATTTATAAGACAGATAGTCTTGGGTTATGGGACAACTATGGGAGAGGGGTAAGTACTCCTTATTGGTTTATTTTTTACGTCAAGTGGAGAGACCCCTTTTTTAAGTCATTTTAGTTACACTGAGTAAGTTGCTGATTCCTAAATGTGACTAATTGATAAAACTCATTAAAAAAAAAAACCTGAGCTGGTGCCTATGTTAATGCAGAAAGTTCTGAGTACAGGAAGCCAGCATAACACTGATTGGAAACTTTGAATAAAGCTGAAAGTGGAGCAGCGCCTATGGCTCAGTGGGTAGGGCACCAGCTCCATATACCAAGGGTGACAGGTTCGAACCTGGCCCCAGCCAAACTGCAACAAAAAACAACTGGGCATTGTGGTGGGCGCCTGTAGTCCCAGCTACTTGGGAGGCTGAGGCAAGAGAATCGCCTAAACCCAGGAGTTGGAGGTTGCTGTGAGCTGTGACGTCACAGCACTCTACCAAGGATGATAAAGTGAGACTCTGTCTTTTAAAAACAAAACAAAGCTGGCTCGGCGCCAGCCACGTACACCTAAGGTGGGCGGGTTCGAATCCCCAGCCCGGACCCGCCAAACAACGACGGCTGCAACCAAAAAATAGCCGGGCGTTGTGGCGGGCGCCTGT